GAGTGTTGGTCGAGGGCAAAGAGGGTTAAGATGCTCCGGAAGAGACAACCTCCTTGTCCTTTTCTCCCTTTCTCTCCTTTCGAGTGGAAAAAAAGATTTCCCGGAAGCTGGCGGAGGTGGAGCGTGGAGACGGCAAGCGGGAAACGCAATAATAAACTATTGAAAAAAATGGCGCGGTGCGTGGCAGCGAAGAGTAATGCGATAGGCGTTGTTGACTCTCGCGATTACAAACGCCGTGCTGCAACGATGCTTCGCGATCGCGCTGCGAATAATAAAACGAGCCGCGGTTTCGAGGAAGTTCGCGCGCCCGACGTCCTTGATTCCGTTCTGGCGAAACTTTTTTTTTTTCTTCCTCTCTCTCTCTCTCTCCGCGAGTGAAATACGCGCTATCGTGTCTTTTTGATTGAATTTAAACGCGTCGTCGTGTCTTTTTCATTTATCGTTCGTCGCGCGTGTCGCGTCCAATTCGTGCAAACGCTTTAGATAAAAAGAGGGATGAGGGAGGAAGAAAACGAAGAGAAAAAAAAAAAAAAAGAAAAGAAAAGAAGAGAAGGAAAGACGCACGAGCGTGCGTTCAACGTGTTTTCGAATCAACCCGAGGAAAACGAGATCTGTTTTTCCTCTGAGGAGATTTAACCGGATTGCCGTTATCAGGCTTGCGGTAGTTGTAATCAAAAAATATCGCTCGATCGCGAGCAGAATAATCACTCGCGAACGGTGCAATTCCTATAAATAGATACACGCGCGCGCGGCGACAAGTGTAATTTAGGGAACTAAGCACTCTTACTTCAATCACTATAAATAGATCGGTAGGAGAACAAGTGACAAGTGGATGAAATAACGATCGTAAGGCGTTTCACCGAGGCTTTCGAAAAGTCACGGTGGTATTTATGGAAACCGGACGTGGCTGGTGAATATGATTTGCGTTTTTTCTTTTTCTAATTAAAACGAGCAACGGACTGGCTCCGGTATGTATAACTACGGACACGTATCCGCAAAAAGATCGAAATATTCGAGCCGCGGGCACAAAGTAACGATCGCTAATGACGTCTATGAGGATTTCTCTCTCTCTCTCTCTCTCTCTCTCTTCCCGCCGGGACGACGAGCTCGGTCCATCGATCTCGCGCCGGCTCGTCAGGTTTCATGAATCACGCGACCGCGCGTCGACCGTATGCAGATCGGCGCGTTTTCACGTCGGAGTGAGTCTCCTTTTGTCTGCGCGCGTCCCGAATCGCTAAAGTGGCCCGCTCCGACTCTGTCGGATCGAACGACGACGTAACAGTAATTAACGCGCTCGCGTCAGAGAGAAAAAAAAAAAAGAGAGAGAGAGAGAGAGAGAGAGAGAGAGAGAGCCATGGGTCCTCGATCGTCTTGGATGTCGAACGTTCGCCAGGATTATATTCGGGAACGCGTGGCTTTTACCGGCGTTTGCAGAACCGAGAACGCGCGTAACGTGTAATCTGAGGCGGGAGAGAGGTGGTGGGAAGCTGGCTGAAGCGCGAACACGCAGACGAGCACGATCGATCGGTCGAAAATGTATTCAGGGACGCGCGATTCATTCATACGATACAATGGAATATGTCGGGTGACGCACACGTGGGACGTGGCTTGATTTCCCACGCAGCGAACACCTGATCCGAAAGGCATCGTCGTCCGGCTGGATATTTTCGGGATGGGGAACGAAAATCTCTCCGCTAAATGCTCGCTTCCGACGACGGAAAGTGACTCGGTCCGCGGTAGTGCACACGTAATGATACAAGCTGTTTTGTTAACCAAATTTCGTGGCCAACAAATGCGACGCAGTTCGAAAAATTAGCGAGCTTTTCGCTTTATCGACGCGAATGATAAACGTGAATTAAAAAGAGCTATTAACTATCATAAAATTTCCATGACTGGTTGTGGAGTGTCTCTACGACATTTTTCTAACGCGTTGATTCGAAAATTTCGTTCATCGAACAGACAGAATTGAAAGAGACAACTGCGATGATTCAAAAGATTTCGTTTCTTCTTTTCCTTTTCTTTAAACGAGAGTAATCGGGATTTCCAACTTCTTAATCGTGGTACGTAATCGACGTGCATACATCACGTTTGATTCTAAGAAATTCTCTTACATCGTGTTGTATGAACTCGTTGGATTATTCTTTTAAAAATATCTCGGCAAGAGTAACTCATGCAGTTATTATTAGCGTATAATACTATGCGCTATATTTTGGTGGAGCACTGTAGCTTGTACACACGCCGAGAGTTTAGCGTATCAACACGCGATACCCGAATCGGACGAATATATATATATATATATATTATTAGGAATTAATTTCGTCCGCTCTCGAAATTTATAGAGAAACGAAATTAATTTTACAAGAGCGTGCGAATTCTCGGGATCAAATCAAAACAAGATATTCTTAAAAATCGTGCAAGATTAATTTATATTATTTTAATTATATATTTCGCACGGAGGGGGGTGTGGGGATAAAATTTAATCAGAAGATTAAAGATACGTATTTTTTCTCAAACTTGTGAAACTTTCTACGGACAGCACCCTTTCTTGTTAGCAGATTTTTTGAATTGTCATTGATTTTTACTAGTACCACGACCATTTATATATGTATAAATTTCCTAGCTGAAGGAACATTTTTGTCACAACTTTCAAATATCTTTGTTATAATGCTTCATTCTCGTCATCTGGTCACTTTTGCCAGAAATATATAGAAATTCCAACGCACCCTCGCTCGATCAGCTGATCCTCGGATTCGTGTCTCTCGACACGGCTGCCGGGAAAACGCGTATGTATTTAATTTCAATATCGTGGCTGAGATAATACCGAGAGTGCTGGCGCACTCCACGCCTCGTAACGCTTTCTAGGTATGCGGTTGCGAAATCGCTCCGCTGGTCATTATGTCAGTTTCATAATAAGGCGAGTGCTCGGAGGCGAGTACGAGTAACGAGTTTTGACTCGCGTCGAGTCCGCTTATTTATCATTTGCAGGCCGAATCGCGTTCGGCTTCGTTTCTTTTTCACGTGTCGCGTTTTTTCTGATTCGACGGGCGCGCGTGTTTCCAATCGCTTCAGAAAGTATCTCGGCCATAGTCGTGCGCGTTTTGTTTTGATTTTCTGAAACGATCGCGAAACCTCGGCTGCTTCTTCGCGGTCCTCGTAATTCGTACTCGCTCTGGCACGCTCGCGCCTCTGCGACTTAAAAGCGACCAGCGGCGCCAGTCTCGAAATATTCGTCTGTTTACACGGCGAAACGCGCGATCGAATTCTCTTTCAGCGAGGCCGCGAAATTCTTCTTCTTTCATTGGAATTAAAGAGAGGCTCTTTCATCGAGTCACTCGATACTTCTAGCACGGGATGTGACATTATCTCGCTGGTTTTCTAATATTTGTCGAGCCTGTTGCAAAGTAAATTCGCGGAATCGTAAATACCAGCGATAGTCGCGTTATCGTTTATCGCGACTCTCCATCTTTCTCCTGCTCGGATATTGTTCACCACTTGCGCTGGCAGCTGATTGCGGACCATAACGAGTGACCATACGGTCAACACGATAGTTCGTCGCTTTCTTTTCGAACACGTCGGTATGATATCACTGGAATGGAAATTATTGAGAAGTGTTGCAACTTGGTATTGGGTTTTATTCAATGAAACACGGATATTCGGTTTTTTTTTTAAGGTTTTTATAACTTATAAGCTGGAACGATCACTTTCCTTTCAGATCTATACGACTTTCAACTGTTTTCTCAAACCCTTCTCCCAATGCTGTCCTCACACATAGACACACAAGCTCAACACTAATAAAGTATACATCGCGCATCCATCCACATGCACACACGTTATATGTGATTTATAGTTATTACTAACAAGAGGTAATAAATTTATTATTTGTTTTGCCTGGGTTGTACTTAAATATACTTGAAACTGAGAGAATGTTGCAATTTTGGGACAAAAGAGTCTCGACGTGCGTGACGCCAGCGCAAGCGATTAATATTCCGCACTCTGCGAAAAGTTTTCTGGACAGATGATCAAACACAATCGTTGCGACATTGCTCTTGTACTCGCAGGATAAATAAAAATTTCAAAGTAATTCAACGATTCGTGTCTTAGGAACGAAATCGACTTTTTTATTCACCCTTTCAGCTTTTGTTTCAAAGATCATCGCGCTATTGTAAATTTAATCTCGACATGAATCTAAGGGATTCTGACGAAGGGGATCCTCGGTGGGAATTCGTGTCCGCCGTGTCGGATTGATCGTTCGTCGCTGGACAGACAAATTATTCCGTGATGGAAAATCGCGCGATTGTATCGGCCGATCGTTGAAGAGGCAACCTACAAAAGAATTTACAAGCCTCGTACGCGCCGATCCTCGAAAGGATCCGAATTCTTTTGACGTCCATGTCCTGTCGGACAGATGCACGAGAGTGTTTCTCTTATGAGTTCCGATCGACGAACAGGAAGAATCTGATAAAAGACATGACATTCTCTACAAAGGAAGATGTGCAGAAAAAATTAATCAGCAAGTAATTTTTCCAGGCATATTTCGTGCTACAGAATTACACAGTATTGCACGATGTGAAGAAGCAAACCGAGCGATCGGTTTCTCGAAGCAGCAAACCGATCAATTTCACTCGGCACGCCACGACTAAGGAAAATTACGATTAGTCGCTCGGTGATTGGATTGCGTTTTGTCGGTTTTTTTCGATTAGTTCCCCGAGTGCGATCGAGAGGGAAGGATCTTACGGCGACTCGTTGCAATTTCCAACGATTCGGATCGTTTCGACGATCGTTTTCGCATGTGAGCTCTGGATAGAATCTGGGCCGACTGGCAACGTGAGAATAATTCTCTGGTGAAACGAGGGGGAGGCACTGTGTTCCTTCAAGCGCGCGAAGAGCAAATAAAAGAGCAAAATTGTTTCTCGATTAATTTATCCTCTTGTGTTCTCCACTGATTTAACTGACTCTGTTAAACAGTACTGCTAACCAAATTCGTTTAATGTGTTTTGCAGAAGGGGAGAGTTCAAGGCAGTTGAATAGACAACAGAGACAAAAGAGACGCTAGAGGAAGCCGGGAGAGAGAAAGAAGCGAAGGTGGGGCGAAGTGGCATGATAGACAAGGACTCGAGTGTTCCACGAAATTCTGGTGACCAAGTGGACGACAGTGAAGCGCGCGGGAGCCAGGGAACCGATAGAAAGTATCGACGGGTTTGTCGACAACGAATGTCGGAATGACGCGTCGATCAAGCCGTGACTGGGCCGAGGGAGCACGGGTTTCGTCGAACAGGAAAAAGTGATATACGTCGTGGTCCGAGTTGGAGAGGAGGAGAGGAGCTCGTTGGAGAAGGGAGCGGAAGGAAGAAGGAAGAATTAACTGGAGATCGTCGATCTTCTCAGGTACAAGGCCGAGATACTTTTCTAATTCGCAATACATTTCTTTTTCTTTTTTTTTTTTGAGATATTTTTTTTTACTTTCAAGACAATCAATGCGACAAAATAAATTTCCCATTTTCGAACTATTTCGCGCAGGCGATTTTAAGCTATAAAGTTGGAAAAAATCGATTGGCAAGCTAGCTTCTTTCCATCATTTTGTTTCAATCGATTTTTAACACTAGAACTACCGACGACTAAATAATAATAATTGCAGCAACGAAATTTGAAGTGCAAGTTACAAGAAGAAAGTACCGACTGATTTTTAATAAATGTATTAATAAAATGTATTAACCGTTTCGGTACTACTGCCGCTCATTGGCGGCGGCCACGAAACGTTCTCTGGGTACTACTGCCGCCGATTGGCGGCGCCTTCGGAAACTTATGTGGGCATGATTACTCTCTATAGTACACATTACTATATCTCCAATGAAAAGTTTAGAATCAATCACGCTCGAGATTTCTATGAATGACGCAAAACACGTTTTCGCGGTTTACGCTGCCGTGCAGTGCAACCACTCTTGTGGAAAACTTCCCCGTATCATGAATATATAACCGCAGCCAGTTCCTCCGTACCGAAAGGGTTAATAGAAGCTTGAGTTTTTTTTCGAGCTTTTATCAACATTTTATTAAAAATTCCTCGAGTATCTGAAAATATGCTGTTGTAAATAAATATGCTGTTGTAAATATATAAAATTTCCATAGAAAATTATAAATTGGTTGACCACTGTGATAGTTCCAATGTTAAAATGAGAAGAAAAAGAAAAGATGAAACGAAAATTGTCGAACGCGCTAGTTCGGATTCATTATCGTAAAAAATGAATCCTGCGACATTTATCGAACGGTGGTTCGAAAATGGCGGACAGGCCAGGGATCAGGCGTTCGCAATAGACATTGTGCATTGTTTTGCAGAAGCGATCGCGGGCTCATTGTCTCGTCAGTCTGCAGCAGCGGCAGCGGCGGATAACGTCCTCTCGTCGCTATCAGGATGTCACTACTATGAGATCCATCGTGCCGACGGTAGATCCGACGTTTCCTTACACCTGACAGAAACACAAGAAACATACCTCTTCTAACGTAACATTAACGTACACGTTGTCGATACTTAGAGAACCAGTACTCGGAAGAATTAACATAAATGAAAAAAAGGAAAGAATTGCACGAACTAGAGAGAAACTAAGGGAAAGAAAAAAACTTGATAAAGCAACTACGAGACTACCAAAGAAATTTCACACGGGAACGCATCAAATCCTTTAAAATACACACGGTGACCACTCATTTCACCCTGAGCGGTGATCCTTGTAATCGTGAGATTGCTGCTCGCGTTTGGTTGACGTAACAACATCGAGCGAGGACAGCCAGCAACTGTGGGTGGTGCGTCGAAGCAAAAGAAGGAGAAGAAGAAGGCGAAGAAGACGAAGAAGAAGAAGAAGAAGAAGAAGAAAAAGAAAAAAAGAATAGAGAGAGAGAGAGAGGTGCGCGGTGAAACGCGACGAGAGGGTGAAGTGAAGGTGTCCCCGTGGGGTGCCAGAGTGAGCACGATAGCACCTCTGGTGCCCTCGGCCGTGGGTCCCGAGGGGACGGACGCCATGGCGGCCTCTTCGTCCTCGTCGAGCGGCGAGCAACAGTACTCACTCAGGTGGAACGACTTCCACTCGAGCATCCTCAGTTCATTTCGTCATCTGAGGGACGTGGAGGATTTCGTGGACGTGACCCTGGCATGCGAAAGTAACAGCTTCACCGCGCACAAGGTAGTTCTCTCAGCTTGCAGCCCTTACTTCCGGCAGCTCCTCAAGGTCAGTGCATTTTTTTTTCTTCTTCTTCTTCTTCTGCCTCTTCTTCTTTTTTTTTTTTTTTTATCTCACTTTCTTTCAATTTCTCCATTTCTCCAATTTAACCTTGTACCGACCGTGGTGACTTCGTTGCGATTTGCGTTACGGCAGTGACACTTCGCGTGATTCTCAGCCTAGCACTGTATGCAAATCAGAAAATTCCTCGGCGTAGAGGGTTAAATCGATCACGCACATTTGATCTCACTTTGAACAAGATCTGTCTTGATTGTGCGATCAGTGGTAAATCGAAACGCGGTGATCTCATCTTTCCACGCTGCAACCATGTATTTACAAATCGCGTAGCGTTATTAGGTAACAGTATCATTTTTTTAAATTTACCATTGAAATCAATCGCTCGCGGTTCCGACGTGCAAAATCTCGCACCCTGTCAATTAAAACATCACGAAGTTAAATTACTACGCCACGATATACAATATGCATATAAAATCGTCTCTCTTTCTCCCCCGATTGTTACAAAAGTGAAATCGATCGTACATCGGGAATCGAACGCGAACAGCGCGGTATTTGGATATCGCCGATTTTGTCGAATCGAAGGGAAATTCGCTTTCGCGGAAAAAATTCGTGGTTCGCGGCGCGTGGAAAAACAATCGGTGCGCGGTTATTGTATTTTAATTTCGCTCGAATAACATTTGATATTCCTCCGCGATTTTTTCATATATATATATATGTGTGTGTGTTATATATTCGTCGTTGGAAATAAACCAACCTAGGAAGCTAGTCGAGCAGGATATTTTCGAAGGATATATCCAACACGTGAAAACACGTTCCATTCTCCATCGTGTGGGTGTTTCCGTGTGGCAAATTACCGTCGGTACGAAGGAGAAAGACCGTTCATTTCTTTCCTTTTTTCCAACGACGAGACAAAGTAGATAGAGGGTAGATAGGGCAGACACCTATTCCTTCGGCGATCACAATTTCCTGCGACGTCAGTCACACAAGTCGTATGTACAACATTGCTGTATGAATTAGTAACCGGGCGCTGTGTTATTTCCTTAATCAACGCCGACTAATTACGATCGTTTCCATTGTCGTTCGCGTAGAGGGGAACAAGCACAACCGGCAACAAGTTCAACATCCGTTTTAATGTACGTTTCACGGACGTGCATTTCAAATGCGTGTAGATTTTCAACCCGCCCCCTCAATTGCACTTCGTTCTCTTCTTCTCGAGATCTTCGCTCGACGAGGGGATCGAACCAGGATGAAAAGACCAATTTGCACGTTCTCGTGCGCGTAATGCGAGTGCAAAATTCGGGACAAGCCCCGCGTAATTTTCGTGGCCGGAACTGAGTGATTACGAGCCCCGTGGCGGCGAACGAAGAATCCAGAAAGAACTTCCGGCTGAGATTTACATAATAACGCGGCGTGTCAAAGTGGACCGACGTCCATTTGGGACGAGCCTCGGCTCGTTCTTGCCGAGCGTGGACTATCGTTTCGTCTCTTTCGTTTCCTCGAATTTCGTCGTTGATCGATAGCTGCCTCATCGGGAGGGGTGGGTCTCTCTTTCGAATGAAATGGATCATCTGGTCAGGTCCGTGGAGGAAAATGGATAAAAGCGCACCTGGAAGCTTAATTGGACGTCCTTGATGTGCAAATTATTTCACGGAGCGCGGTATTTAAATTTGCTCGAACGCGAACGGAGGAGAAATTGAAAGAGACTGGACACGCGCAGATATCCGAAGAATTTCGGTCGAGCAATGTCGGACATTTATGCGCGGCAGGCTTGGATGAATTCTTTCCCCCCGTGGCGTAAATCAAGTAGCTTAGGAAAATGCTGTAATCTAACGCTCGAATCTCGGTAATTTTTGTTTCGTCGAGACTCCACGCTATCGGTGAAAGGAATTCTCTCGTTAAAAGAAAGACACATACGCTACCCTTTCGCGATTCGATTAAAATCACAATGTTGGTACTCGTTAGTCTTACGTTGGTCCACATATACTGCAAGAATCATGCTTCGTATAATCTTCTATATGAGGTTTATCTACATATCTGTGATATATCGATATTTTATTAAAAAATTCAATTTTTTCCACGAGATTTAATTTACTATTTATTTTAATTAATGTATAATAAAATCTTTGTAACGATCGTTCGCTTTGGTTGATTCTTAACAACTGAGAATGCAATATATATTTTCCGCTATTTTATTTTCTTCTTTCTTCATCGCCACTGTTAAACTCGTGTTTAAAAATATGTGGCGCACCGTCTTAGTAATCAGTAACATTCCTCGGTAATCAGCTCTAACCTGAAATATCAAAGTAAATGCTATTTAATTCTTTTATCATGAAGAAAATTCGGCCTATAGAAGGTCTCACAATCGAGGATCAATCACAAGCGGCGCCGTGAATACGAAATATCACTGTCAACCGCGTTTGAGAGACGAGATCGCGAAAGGGGAACGAGAACAAAGAAACAGAACGATCGGGTCCCAAAAGCGATGATCGGCTACTAGGAAAACGACGTCGAAAGGGACCGGTCGACTTTCTAATTGACGCGTACCGCTAATTGATTTTAAGTGTCAGCCACGGGTACTACATACTTGGCCTCCCGCGTCCGGTTAATAGAACGTGGCGATTCGTTCTCGTGTGTGTGTGTCAGTGTGTTTGTGCCGCGCTACGTCATACAGAAGACGGGAAGAGCGGGCAATGTGATAGTGTCGCGCCGTTTAAATATAAGTCGCGCGGGACGATGTAATAAAAAGCATGCGTTGCGTGGTCACGAAGGTGGAGTCTTTTGTACTCGTTGCAATATATAAAGCCCGGTTGCGCTGTACTTTCACCGGTGTCCCAACGCGTTGTGTCGCGTCGCGTTGTTCAATGTTTGTTTAACGTCCTCTCGTCGTTTGTTGTTGCTCTGTTTGCCATGGGAAATTCGCGGCGGAGGAAAAAATGAGTGAGAGAGAGAGAGAGAGAGAGGAGAAAAGACAGGCCGCCGTCGGTGTAATTAACCCGGGATTAATAGCGAAATGAACCGACGTTAACATCGGCTACGTAGTACTGGTCCAGCGCGTGCGTGTGTGTTTTCGTTTCGGGATATATTTTCCAGCGTGCTCGCTGGGGTATCAGGCGCGTCACGCAACGATAACGAGACTGCCTGAAACACCTGACAACCGTGTGCGTTTTGATTTATGCGTTAGTGCGCACCGGTGCTACGATTTACGACAGCCACCCGTTCATTTGACTATCGGCCGGCAGTCGATGACGAATCACTGAGTTATCGACTACGTCCGCAATGATATTTGCCAAAATACGATCGCCGTTCCCCGCCGGTTACGCGTTCCCCATGCTATCGATAATAAATTTCGACCTGTCTCGATAATATATTGGCTCACCTGGCCAATGACCTGTCTCTGGGTTAGCCTAGAATTCGCGAGAAAGGAGCTTCCATCCGAGCGAATATTTAGATGGAACATTTAGACCTCGCCGAGTCTTCCAACCTGGTCCTAAATCTTCGACACTCTCAAATCTCTAAGCTTTGGAATCCTCGAGATTGAATTCCCAGAGCTTTGAATTTCTAAATTTTCAGATTTCTCAATATAATATAAATCCGCGAGACGTTGGATTTCTGTATTTTCGAATTTTAGAAAACCTCGTCGATCCAATCTCTCCTTTATCACGTATATTTTCTTTTCACTTTATATTTCTTTTTAAAGCAATGTCTGCTTCCAAATTTCTCTGAAGAGGCCTTGAAATACCTACGTACAATTTTTCATTCAGTTTTCTGTTCAAGTTGGCGAAGAGAAAAACTTTATGCAGGAACATATTAGGCATTTCATGATTTTCGAGTTTAGGATAATAATACGTAATAACGCTACGAATATAACTAATGCAATTTATAATGCATATCCAAATTCTTCGAACGTTTGTGAACACCAATGTTGATTTTCGAGATTTCAGTTTGATAATTTCAGTCTTTCAGACGTCTTCTGTTAGTCCAACGACGAGCTCGATTCTCTAATTGAGTCGAATCCTCGTTAAATCGTTCAGGATTTAGTGAACAGACTTGGGGCTTCCTAGTCGACTAAACAGGAAATGTATATAGGCAAGAAACATGTGTACACACGACTTTCGTGAAGAGTACAAGAAAAGCACAAAAAAATATTACTGTGCAACACGATCTGCTTAATCGCGTTGAGAAAGATTTATTTTCAAACCGACTTATCACAATCCATCATACTTACTCTGATTTGGCACTATCGAATCTTTTCCGGTCCATAAAATATGTTTTTGAATAGAAAACTTGGTAAAATCGGCACTTGCAGAATCGGGGGGCTTTTATAAAAAAAAAAAGTGGTCAAATCGATCAAACAAACACTTATCTATAAAGACAAAAGTCAGGAATTTTCATTTCGGTGAAATGAAAAAAACGAAATTACCTTCCTAAGTAAATGAAACCACTTGCCACACAAGGTGGCACCCTAAACCGCACGATTCTCACCGTGAATCGGTGTGGATAATTGCGTCACAGCCACGCTCTTCAGCACAGATGCTCTACGATGGCGTATTGCAATACGTGTGTAATCACGTGTCACCCTCGTCCACGCACAATAAATATAAGTGCACCGAGAGTTACGGTAATTCGACTGAAAGCCCCCGGCGAAGATTAATCATTGCCGATCGGTCATCGCGGTGGCTACAGCATTAATGCAGTTATCTCGTTGCGTGACAGTCTTTGAAAGGCGTGTTTCTCTCTGTGGATTGCTGATACACAGGAGAAGAAGGGGGGGGGAGGAGGGAGGCAGAAAGATATCATAGAAAACAGGCTTAACTAGTTCTCGTAGTTTATCGTCAAGTTTTGCTCCGATCGTGGCGATCCCTCGGGTAAATTCATTGATACTCGAGGAAAATGGAGCCCGAGTACGGCGAGAGAAGACTATCTTCGATGTAAATTGCGCGAAAGGATCCTTTCCTTTGCGCGACAGTTCCTTTCCGCAATCGAGGAGCGAA